TTAAGCTTGGGATATGTAAGCAAAACAAGTGGTGTAACCCTGATATTTAGGAAACCTTCTTAAGCAGCAAGCCATTGTCTGTTGTAAAAGTATCTTCCAACAAAGAAGAAATGGCTCATTTTGCAAAAAATTAACCAAGTGAATAGACATAGATTATCATCACACAATCAAGAATTTAATATAGTTTTGGTATTTGGTTAAAAAACAAGAAGGCAACTTTTAACCTAGAAGCCTTGTGCATGATGATAAAATCTAGGCATTTAAAATTTTGGGTGGAAATACTTTCAATAGAAACTAATGTATGTTCGGTCATGACCTTAGGAGAGCCTCTGGCATTCTTCACCCTACATTAGTCTATGTAAGATTATTTCTACACAAACTTCTCATATCTTGAGAGCTCTAAACTCATAGAATATAATCACCCTTGAGCATTTTTATCCCATAATTTTTTGTACCTGTAACATGTAGGAAATGACAATTTCCCTTTATTTTCTGTCTGGCATCTTCTGAGAATAAATAAATATATAGAACAACAACAACAAAAACACAAGCTTATTATTTTGCAGTCTTTTACCAAGAGTGTTCTTTTGTGGTCTCTATTTCATTTTCTTATACCTACCATATCAATGGTTATACTGAGTTTTAATCAAATGCATTTTATGCTGAAATAAAACATGTCTTTTCCAGAGTTTAAAAAAAATATATAAATATCCATGAACATATATTTATTTGTAGGTTTATTTGTATTATTCTTATAGTCAATTTATATCTTTAAGAGTTAAGGCAAATAAATGTTTCAGTTATTTTCTCTTCCGGTACAAACTCATACTCTGCGCATTCAGAGAATTTATTTTCATGTGTTTAGATGAGTTGATTTCATGATTTTATTAGGGGAAAAATAAGAGAACATAAAAAGCATTTTAAAGTAAAAAAGTTGTATTTAATGACCTTATCATATTGGAGTAAAGCAAGGTTCAGTTAAGTTAGCAGAATAGTCTAAATCTTTTTGTTTCTTTGAAAATTGGAAAAAAAACCACAGGGCCACGGAAAGGATGTGTTGGCTGTAATGTGGGCACTGAGGGACCAAGTCCCCGCAGAGGCCCGGGTGGCAGGGCCCTGACGGAGCTAAGTCCTTGCAGAGGCCCTGGTGGCTGGGCACTGAGGGACTAAGTCCCCGCAGAGGCCCGGGTTCTTGGCATGTGTGTTTCTGTTCTAAGGTCAGCAGGCAGGCAGGAGGCAGAGGCCTGGAGAAATGAAATTTGAGTCAAGGGCACTTGATTTTGGATTCCTATCTAAACCAAACCACCACAAAACATGCTGAAACCAGTCTCTCTTCATAAATTGAAAGTTACTTTCAAAGTACATGACTGAGGGCTCTCTGAACAGCCTGCCTTCGGCAGTTTGAGTGTTTGCACTGAGATCAGGAACTTTGGGAGTTGGTGGTCAGATCCACAACTTTGCTTTGCCACCTCCTACTGGTCAGTTTCTTGATCTGTCACGTGGAAATATTAAACCTTACTTAAAATCTGATATCCAAAACGCTAACAGAAACCTGTAAACTTTACAATGCAAATGTTTAGAGAGCTTTAGTGGAAAGGCAATTTCAAAACTCCAAATAGAACCAATAAAGGCTTGATATCTAAGTTTCACAAAACGTTTTCTAAGCATTTCATATCTTTTATCTGATTTAAAAAAAAATTATCTTTGCCTCCAATTCCCATGAGTGTGTCCCATAGAATTCACTTACAGGCCAAAAAAAAAATAAAAATAAAAAATAAAAATCTGTACCTGGGTTGTTTGTAATAGAAAAACTCTTTAAATGAAGATTTAGAAAATAAATTACCAATAGAATAAAGCATTTTCAGAGCAAGTGATTTTTTGTCTTAATAGATGTCTTAATGTAACATTTTTGAGCTGTTGCTTCGGAAAGTGGATAAAGGGCTCTGGATTGCACAGGAGGCCACCTGAGCTCTGTCCAGGCTCTGTAACCGTGGAGCAGAGCTGGCCTGTGTTACCTTAGTCTCTTACCCTCACTGTGTATCACACTGGGAATGGCAAGACTAGTAAATGCATAGTCGCCTCCTTTAAAAGTCTAATGACATGTTATCCACTAGGAAACCCATTCTTATCTGAGCCAGATGATACCAATTCGTTAAAATAAAGGTCACCAAATTAGATTAGCAAATGAAGGGTAGTTCTCTTGATATTTTTCACAATTCACCAGCATTGACACAAACATTCTAATTGTTGTACACTATAATATTTGAGTCCACAGAGAGAAGGCAAAAATATAACCGACTGTTGTCTAAAAGTGTATCAAAAGTTTAAAAACGTGACTTGTAACATGCTTCAATTCATTTTCTGTTGGATATTTTTTAAGATGTTGAAAGTGAAAAGAGTTTTTTTAACCACTACATGTTTCAGTTGAAGAACGTATGCAGCTGAAAAGAAAACGAATTTTAGAATTAGATGAACCCGAGTTCAAATCTGATTTCAGTTATATATGATCTTGGACAGTTAAGTTCTCTGACACTCAATTTACTCATCTGGAAAATGGGGACAATGATGCCTTATGCTTTGGAAAACTGTATATGTTAGAAATAATCTAGGTAAATCACCTGGTACATTAATAGGTACTCAATAATAGCTATAAGTAACATTTTAAGAATAAAGTGTTTCACCTAATATCTAACTGGTATGCTAGGAATATGCAGCAAAACTTACAGAGATAATTGTGACCGTCATCTGCTGTCTGACTATGAATGAATGCCAAGCCTGGGTGCTTATTGGATGGATGAACAAAGTCAGTGTAAATAAATATTTAGTGTAAGCAATTACAGTGACAGAACATTCAGTGACACAGTTCACTACATATCAAAAAGAAAAATGGCATTAGAGACCTCTTCGATGTTCAGCTCATCAAAATAGTTATATTAATTAGTAAATCTACTCATTTTCATAACCAGCTGCATAGTCAATCTATGTATATTAATTAGTATTTAATTTTATTAAGTTTGATATTTTAAAGATTCTTACTGACCTGTTTTCATCAAGCATATGCTCTCTGTTAGCTTACATATGACTGGTCACATCCATATCATTACTAGACATTTATTCTTACCCCTTTTAGCTATATATATGCCAGCACTTTTCTTACATTAATTAACTTTAAACTTGTGTGTTTTGATACTCCCAACACTGGGAATCCGGATCCAATGTTTTACACAGATGCGAGGAACAAGAAAATACATGTTTAAGACTATATAAAATAAGTCTACAATTGACATCCAGATGAAACAAGAATATAAATAAATGTTTGTCTTTACATACAAACTTAAATACACCATTGATAAAATACATACACTTTTCAATATGAACTGAGACCTGAAACAAAGTAAGTTGAGGTAAGGGGTATCAAAATTTGAAGATATAATACAACGAAACTAACAATTCTCATATAAATGATTGAAAGTATGCTTAATAAATATTTAAAATAGTTTCTTATTTCACGTAACTTTAATCTGATAAGTGCACAAGATTAAATTTTCATTTGTGTGGAATTATCTAAAAAGGAATAAGAGTCATTGAAAAGCTAGGAGCCCATTTGTAATAAGTATCCTGTTAAACACAAAACATAGTTTCATGAAATTCCTTAGACTAAGACTATCAAGAAGGCACTAATGATTTCAGTTATCTTCTCCACCTCATATTCTTTTTAACACAAGAGGCCAATGAATACTTCTGCATTAAATACTGACAACAAGACAACACGAACATGAGTTGTGGAGGATGGCAGGTGCAGGTAGTGACACTGGGAAGAAACACTTGATCTAACTATCAGGAACAAAGACGTAGGTCACAGTGCTGTCCCAGCAAGGCGGTACGATACAGTCTACACGTGCCTGTACAGCAGCTTATTATTAGACGCCTCAGCAGTTTTCTCATTTTCAGAAGCACTCTGGTTTTTAAAGCCCACTATTTTCATATTTGAATTTTGTCTCAACAACCACCTTTTATTTTCTCCCTGGCATTTCCCACAAATCTCCCAAATCATTAGTGCTGTGTTTTTGGGTATTCTTTCTAATGTTTTCATGGCCAAGTTTTCTGATGTCTCGATGAAGTTCCCTCTTTACATTTTTTAAAATAATAATTTCTGAGGAATCTATTGCACAAAATGCAGTTCTTTCTAATGTGTCTGCTTTTAAATAGACTTGTCTCCATTAATAGTGGATGAAAAGATACAATAAATTTGGGTTCAAAACATAAATGTCAATGCTAAAAATAATGGTTTAGTTCTACAAGAAAACTGTAAAACAATATCAAGATCAAAAATTCTGGAAATCAGGTTTTCAAGCCTTTTTTTTTATTAGAAAACTTAAATTATTACCCTTTTTAAAAAGGGAGTAGTCAATATCCATTTTTTTAATTTTCTCAAACAAATAATAATAAATGATAGCAAACTAGGATAAGAAAACACATTAGAAGACAGCTTTCTACTTCATACAACTTCTGGTTACCTCTTCCTATCCATTCACCTATTTCTGGTCAGCAGCAAGAACAGAACATCCGTTTATCTTTGCCTTTTTGGGTTTTCCAAGATGAGCTTCATTTACCTGAATACAAACAAAAGCTAGGGGACACAGATTTTATATTGCAAGAGCCAAGAACCTGGCTCATAAGCCAGGATGCCCTGCCTTCTATGGCTTCTGTAGTTTAGAGTCCAGTGGTTACATGACCAACTGAAAGTTGAATGATATTCGAAACGACACAGATTGACAACAAATAACGGAAACGAATGGAATCCCCATGGCTGTTGTTTCTCCCTAGTAGACAAATCCCTAGCATTCTGTAAATAACATTATACATACTAAAGAAACGATGAGAATTTCACAATGGGGAAAGAGGATCATTGCTTATCGTAATAAATATTTTGGTACAAACTTTAAAAAAACGTAGAAAAGTTTAGTACCTCTGGGTACTTTTTTCTAAGAAAACCATACCTGCTTCAGAACTTGTTTGATTATAGCTGCTAACAATGCTGTTTGGTATCACTGGAGTGGAGGACGTTGAAATTCTTGACTGAGGTGGATTGGGATGTAATGAGTTTCCTAAAGCCATGCCCGACTGACTGAGCATCCCACAGTTCCCGCTAGCCTGAATCTGATTGATCAAACCTGCAAGATGGTGGTTGGGGACTGAATTGTGACTGTGAACAAAGTTAGTGTTTGCGTTGTGGCAGTGCACGGCTTCCCCTCGGACGGGGATGTTCTGTGTCAGTGAATTCTGAAGAACACTGGAGTTCACACTGGGGTCTGTAAAATGCAGCTGGTTAGCAGAGCAAGGCAAAGCAGTATTGGAGGCCCCACAACCCGGGGTACTATTGCTACTCAAGTGAGAGCTTTGACAACTCATAGACTGTAGTAACTGAGACATTGAACTGATGGGGAAAGAACCCTGACTTTGCTTCCTCAGCGAGTCGGGTCCAGGTTTAGGAACTGAAGAACTATCCATTTGAGACTGTCTGAGCAAACTCAAAACTGTGGTAGGAGGCTGTTTTCTTTTCCGCAATGAGTCTTTCTGCTGAGACATCAGCTTATCTCGTAGCGCTGCTCGACCACTTTGCCCTTCACCTGTTGGGAGAAGCATGTTGGCAGTAGGAGGGAACATGGTGTTTAAAGTGCTATGTCCTTCAGTGTTGCCACTGCCAGCAACAGCTCCGGAATTGCTACTGCTGCTACTGTTGTTACTAGCAAGTTTGTTTTGATTTGCTAGCTGTGCTTTGGCTGCTGCTGAGAGTAAACTACTTGCTGGAAAGGAGGCAGCATTGTGCTGGTTCAAGATCTGATTTAAAGGCATTCCCAGCAAACCAGGCTGACTCTTTACAGAACCACTTCCGGCAGGTGCAGCAGGAAAAGCGGCACTGCTTGGGGTAGTTAGTACATTACTCATTCCAGCAATTAATGGGTTAGGGATATCCTTGTACTGATGATGTCCATCGGACTTGGTGGAAGGGCTTGATGGCATTGATGGCCGTGGGGACCCTATTGTTGACCTTGGTGACCTGGGTGGAACCTTAATACCACTGCAAGCCGCTTGGGGTCCTAGAGGTGGCATCATGAAATTTCCATGATCTGATGATGTGGAAGATGAGCGTGATCTTTGGGGCGAAGCCTCAATCCTTCCGATTCCAGCCCCCATCATGTGCACTGGGGATGTCACTGGAGAAGGGGACAGGGAGGTTGAAGCTGAATGCTGAACTCTTTGAACATGACTCCCATGATTCATGTGACCAGGTTTTACGGTTGGCAAAGGGAGATTACTTGGCAAAGGAACAACAGCAGGAGGCATGCTTACATTCATCACAGGTACCTGAGAGTGGACATTTGAATGGAAACTAGTTGGATTAATGATAACAGGGTTCTGATTCGCCGGTTTACTAGGAATAGGGTCAAGAATGCCAAGTGGATCTTTCTCAGATGTTAATGGCTTTTTCTGAAGAGCACAAGAAGGTGGAGGAGGGGGAGGTGGGCCGTGGGGTAGTTTGTGGTGGAACATTGCTCGTGGTATTTCCATATTATTTGAAAAATTACACATTGGTTTTTTCATTACTGGACTCTTTGTAGTCAAGGTTGGGGAAAGAGGTATATTAGTCCTTCCAGCCATTGCACAGGATGACTGTACAGGAGAACCGTGTAGCATTACTGAAGGTGGAGAGAGAGGAGTCCTATTCAGGTGAATAGGACTGGAATTGGGAGCTCCATGAAAACCAGGATTATTTCTTGTGAAAACATCAGGGCTTCCAAGTGGGTCAGTCCTCGGAGAGATTGAGCCATCTCCATAAATCTGGGATCCTGACGACGCTGGGCTGGGCAGGCCTCCATGGCTGCCACGGAATGGAGATTTCTGTCCATGTTCACTGCTGCCCAATCTTTGCCGGGGGTAGACGGGGTGGAGTTCTTGTTGCTGGCTTCCAGGCAGTTCTTGTACATAGAGCCTTCCCATGGCATTTGATGATCCCATCATTAACTTGAAAGGATGCTTACATTCAGGCATTACAGAATTTGTAATTCCTTCATGAGACTTATTTCTTACGGATCTTGGAGTTGCTGCCCGTGAAGGTACTACTGGAGTCGCATCTGATGTGAAAGAAAAAGAAAAATCTGTTAAGTCGTCTCAGTTCTTTTGTATTTGGTGGTGGGGGATGAGGAGGGAGGAAATGAGGAAGGGAGGGCAGCTGGAAATAGAAATTTGCAAATAGAAGCCGTGCCTCCATGCAACTAGAAATTCTCCACTCTACATTAAATTTTGATTTAAAAGTGCACATTATTCTCCCTTAGTTGGCCAAAGGTCCTCAATTAACTGCTCATTATGCTTGTTTGCCTCTTATCTGTTGAGAAAGAATGAAAATCTGAATCAGTTCATACTGACATTCGCCATTCTAATACTATTTAGAATATGCAAAATCAAGATTGACAGCCCACATAGAATTGATGATGCTACTATCTTGTTGAATTTGAAATTTTTAGGAACACAGTTACAATAGAAAATTATTATCTGTGTGGCATATTGTCTTGGGTGATTTAAATGAATTGCCATTTTTACCAGAAAATCTGTTGCCCTATAAATGTTTCTGTTATCTTACTGAAACCTCATCAGGACAGCTATAGAAACGCTTCTGTATCCCAACATTTTCACTGTAAAAGAGTCTTAATTTTTGTGAATTAAGTGAATGGAGTTCAGAATCTTTTATAATGGGAGTGATGACAATGGTAAATGCAGTGATACTGCAATCACACCTAACTTCCAATCAAGTCTCTAACACTGCAGTTTCTTTGACGTTAACCAGTCATTACTGTAAAAACAACTTTAGCCAGTCAACTCAGGTAAAAGGCTGCAATTCTTTTATTAGGATAGAATTCCTATGCAACATTTAGACTGCCAAATCTTTAGTACTGGGTTCTAACTGCCATTCCTCTTCCTACAGAGCGCATCTCTCCCTCACTGGCCTTTGGAGTCCCTTCAGTCCCTTTGGAGATCAACAGAATACAGGCAACAAAAGCAAGCTGGCCCACTGGACAGAGCTTTCACTTATCTTGTTAGAATTCTAGGTTCAAGTTTTTTAGCCCCTAAGGATGTTTCACTATTTTATAAAGTTGTACCTTGTAAAACAGGGATAGTAAATAAAATTGATTTCCTAGGCCAAGTCCCATCAACTGGTGGTGGCTGATTAGAGGGCTATGATGGAAAGGATGCTGGGCCTTGCTGGGCTCTGTAGAAAATGCCACTGAGTCTACTACAGGCACAGGGGTTGAGAGTGGCTTCATTCATACTATCTGCTGGCCATCCCCATTCTGGGACTTACAACATCTTGGCAAGTACACCTGGAATCATTTGCAATCAGAAGCACATTTACTTACATGGATACTTGCACATCTAAGATAAATATACTTCTCCTACCTGCGAGGTAGTATACAGATCAAATCAGATAATGTTTTTTTTAAGACAGTGGTTCATCTTAAAAAATGAAATCCAGGTAGAGTGCATTCAAAAAGTAAGAGAATGCAGTGAACATATATTTTTCTTTGGAAATGTGGGCTTTCTGTTTCTAGCATGGTGAAGATTCTGGATAGAGTAATTTCTGAATATAATATATGAAAAGTTGAGAACCAATGATATAAGAGAATTGTAGCAGATAAACTCAACTGAACTTATTTTCTGGTTAAAAAGAGATTTTCAAAGTTTGCAATAAAAATAATATATGAAAAGTAGTTGGGGTACTAGGCATGGCTCATGGTGGGAACACAGGTACCTGTATTAGCCTTATTACAGGATTGACTGTGTTCTCTTCGGGAACAAAACTATAGACTTGTGTCTTTTCTTGGGTATTTCTATAATTATTTATAGTTAAGTGATTAAAAATGTAGACATTGGCATTTTTAAATGTACAACAGACAGAAAAAAATATACAACAGAATTTAGAAAATAGTTGTGTTTTAAAAAGGATTTCTTCCATACCTGGGGAAACCTAGTTACCATCTTTAAAATAATAGGAATACTAAATAAACAAATAAAAGTCATGCCGCTGTTATGTTACACTTAGGAACTAAAGTATTAGAAGAGTTGGCAAATATAAATGCTAGGTACCCATCAAGGGCTTTCATGTAGACCTTTCAAAAGAATAAGCAGAAACTAAATGTATGTTTATGTATGTTAGAGGTGAAAATTACTATATGAGTCTTCTTAACATTTAAGGTTGAGCTTTAAATAATTAAATGTTAAGATAGATATCAATTTCATAAAATTAGGAAGTTGATATAAATGTTATGTCTGAAGCTAGTAAAAGAGGAAATTAATCCAATAAAGTATACCATTGTAAGAGTGGATGGAGATATGCCTCTTAAACCAGTTCCAGTTAAATATTTATCTTTATTTTTTAATAATGAAACTTGTTAAGATATGAAAAGTTGAGAACCAAATCAAGACTCTGTTATGGTCATTAAAAAGGCAACAAGGCAGAATGTAAAAAGAGGTAAAACTGTTTGATATGAGACAGCAGCAGATATGAACATATACAAAAGTGAAATCATAGTTACGTTGAGGTGACAAGATATCGGTAAATGTTAAATAATTTATTACTATTAAATGTCTTTAAACTGTGGCAATATTTGTTTTTAATTAAAAAAAATGTAGCTCATCAAAAGAAAAAAAATCCCTTAAAAGACTGTTTTTTCTTACATACCTCAGTGGAGCAATATTTTTCTGATCATTCCTGTTCAAGCTTAAAGGTTAGAGGTTATTAGGAAGGAGCATTCTGGTCATAGCTGCTAACTTATCTCCCCGCCCTCTTCACATGAGTGCTAAGTGTCAATCTATACCTGTCCGATGTCACAACTGCTCCTCTTTATAAGTCCATAATTTGACCCCAACTTACCTACGCAGGCTTAATCTTCCCCTCAAGTTAGATTAGTTTCCACATTATTGATTCTACTCATTCTGGACAAGAATTTTCTTATTTCCCTCATATTTCTAAATCCTGCAAATTTCCAGGTTGGTTCAAATCTGAGTTCTGCTGTAAAGCCTTCTCTGATCACTACAGGGGCCACGCGTCATCTGTATTTAGAGCTCTGCAGAACATCACTTCGCCTTCATAAGCAAACACTTTGGCACTCAGTCACATTTTATTCTGAATTACTATTCAAGTGCTAAGTAGATTGTAATATTTTGGAAGGAGTTTATATACTAGCCATTACAAAAAGAAGTTCCCCAGTCTCAAATCATTATTCCACAGATTACATATTAATCTTAAAGGGAAAAAGTACCTTAACAATGGAGTGATCAGATGGATATAACTATACCCAAGCAATCAAACTTAATGTCATCAATATGGGATAAATTGACATTATTTGCCTCCCGAGGAGGACATAACATCACCTGTGCAGTATTCCTAGCAAAAAATTTTTAACTTGGCCCTAACCGGTTTGGCTCAGTGGATAGAGCATCAGCCTGCGGACTCAAGGGTCCCAGGTTCGATTCCGGGCAAGGG